CAGTGGAGTTCCAAAGGATCCATATGAAGGCCTGGAGCTCAGGGTAACATGTAGTGCATATCCAGAGGGTCTGAAGGTCTGTAGTGGAGGCTGTAGAGTCTATGCTGGAGACCAGGAGCTGTTGTTCAAAGGGAAGGTGAAGATGGGAGCTCCTCTGAAGAAACAGAGCCCTTTATTCCATTCTGATGACACTTGAAATTAGGGTGGGTCTTCCACACCCAGAACTATGCTGAGCCAGTTTAGTTGGGCATTTCTTACTCAAATTGACACAATCAGTTAACTATCACAACTCAGTACTTCAGACAATGAAGTACTTCAGACACATATATGTATTTTCTATAATTATTTGATTTTTGAAGAAATGGCTTGGATCAGCTTTATTGTCAGCTTGAATCCAAGATCACAAGCACTTGCAGTGAGTTGTAATATATTTTCAACATATATCCGAAAATCTTTCTAATACATTAGAGTTTTTAAAATGATTGATGATTTTGTTCCAAAGACAAAACTATTTTTCTTTCTTGCAATTCTTCATACTTTTATTGTGGGAAGAAGTCATGGCTTATACCAAAACTCTTACCTAGGTAATTTCCATGTGCCATTCTGCAGAGTTGCAATAGAATGATTAAAGATACCCATTATTATGACCTTACTCAACTCTAATGTTTCTTTCTTTCCCCCTAGTACTGGGTAATTGAACTCAGGACCTTGTGCTTGTGAGGCAGGCACAGTGCCAAGGAGCTACATCCCCAGCTCTCCCACATTCTAAGATATATTTTATGGTCTGGCCTCATTCCTGCTATACAATAGTTTATAAATTGTTTAACTAAATTGGGATGGAATTTGCTTCCACATATAATTCAGTATGATTTTTAGGTTACAATTGTTTATACTGTCCTCCCATATGCATGATGTACTCTGGTTCTTGCTCATTTCTAGCCACTGCTTATAGTGTGTGAATTGGTGTCACAATACTTTCTATCCATAGGATCTCCCTCTCTCAGTGATAGCCATTATCCTAAGATTTTTACTTGCTGTCATTTATCCAAATTAATATTTACAGAGCATTTACTTTGTATAAAGCATTATGCTATCCACTGTGGAGAAATACATATTTAAAATGGTGCCAAAGAGTCCATGTTCTAAAAATTCTAATCATATTTTATTTTTTTTAAGTCTTCTAAAATTTTGGAAATATGTGTTCTAATGTGACTTTTTCTACTTCTTATATCTATTTGAAGGGACATCTACTGTATCACATCTTAAGCAGGCCATTGAAATCTCTCCACAGTCCGCAAAAGGAGTCCTTGCCAATCTGCTTTGTGTATTTTTTTGTTTTCAGCTCTCCTTCAAGTTTTAGAACAAAACCCATCACCTAGTTGGTGATAGAACTGGTGGTGCTAGTGATGGGTAGTTTAAGGAATTTTGCATGCAAACATTACATCTTGCTTTGCTGTGCTGTATATCTTCTTTCTTTGCTCTCACCAAAAGACCAGACCACCACTTGTTGTAGGCTTATTGTCATCTATTTGAGAATTAAAGAGTTTCAGCAGATTTGCTGATGAAGGGAAAGAGGACTGTCCATCCCACTAAGACTTAGAACAAACTCCTTTTTCCTTTTAAAAAAGAACAGCCTGACATAAAGAAAGGAAAACAGATTCTTTAGCCTTAATCGGCCTCCATGCTTGGAGGTGAGCAAGAAAGGAAGAAGGAAAAAGATGAGAAATGTGAGTAAAGACAAAGGTACATACAATTAAAGAATCAAATACAAAAACTGGAATCCTACCAAGACCTAGTTCACATCAGACATGGTATTTGTTTCTATTCTATTTTTATTCATCCCAAATGATACAATTGGGCACTGTCTCATAAATCTTTAACGATCATTAATAAACCAATTTCAGAAAGTCTTCTAGTTCTTATTACAAGTGAAATGTGCCAGGTGCTAAACAAGCTAGTTGAAATATATAATCCCATGCCTGCCTTTACAAAGGTTAATGTCTAGCTGTGTAGTGTCACAAAAAGGTTAAAGTAGATATTAAAGACTGAAAATTTCAAAATAAGCTTAAGCATTAAATTGAGGCTCAAAAAGAAAACAAAACAAAACAACCAAAACAAGCCTTATTCCATTTCTCCATTTCCTTTCCTTGCTATGTACTTGAGCAAGACTCTTTTCCAAGTCTCTGTCCCTCCCTCTTATCATCTCTGGCAGAGTGGGTGAGAAATGAGACACAGAGATGAAAGAAGAGAGGAAGACACAAAGGGAGAGGGAGAAAAAGGACAGGGAGGCGGGTAGGGGAAAGAGAAGAGAGGGAAGGAGAGAGAGGGAGAAGGAAGAGGGAAGGAAAGAAGAAAAGGGAGGAGAGGGAGGGAAGGGAAAAGGAAGGAAGAGAGGGAAAAGAGGGAGAGAGACACTTTAGATCTGTGAGATCTAAGATAAGCATTTTGATAATTACTAATGTGCTCCGTTGTTTTGCTCAAATTGAAGTCTGTAGTTGGCGATGCTCCCTGAGCTGACCTTCATTTTCACAGAGGAACAAAGTTAGGTCCAAATTTTCCCAGTTCAATAGCAAGTCAGGGCTCAAAACCACATTTTCCCATCCTGATGCGGCGTTCTGTTTTCCAGCACTGAATAGCGTATCACCCAAAATGATTATTTACTCAGAGAAAAAGCTTAAAATATATTCTTAGTCTTGACACGTTTTACTAACGGAGAGAAATGTTTCTTTTTTTAAATTAAACATCTCTGTATATGTGAATATGCAGGGGAGGGAGTAATTCTACTTCCTAGAATGAGCAAGGTAAGTAATCCCTTACGAACGGGAAGGCTATACAGTATATTTTAAAACTGTTTTGAAATACAATTCATTCTGGTAGAGACAACTGGTTAGGCCTATACTAGATTCAGCAGGGGTTAATTACAAATATAAATTGAGTGCAGGTGGCAGAGAAGTGAGGCAGCCCAATAGATGCACCTGGCCAGAGGGAAGAGGTTCACAGAAGTGCAAAGATGCAAAACATATGTCTCCTTCATAATCCGGAACAAGACCTAAGGTAACCTTCCTGGGTTCTCTGCTCCAGGTGGCCGAGTTCGCACGCTTCTAGGTATTCTATTGATTTACCATCGTGTCCTTCAACAGGTAGCGCCAATTACAGCCCTTAAAGCATGGCGCCGGGGTGTACTGGCCAAGGCCACTGTCAATCATACACCTGCTTTTCTAAATTCTCCCCTCCTCCTTCCATTGGCTTTTTCTCCAGCCTATCCCCAATTTCCTACCGCGCCTCAAGACCACGGGATTGGTGGCGAGGCGACTCCCGCCCTCGGTCGTCGCGAGCACCCCGCCCCCTTCACCGCCCCGTGCTCTCACGAGGCGGTGGGCGGAGCGCAAGGCTTGTGGGCGGGGCTTGCT